TGCATGGCCTCCCGCACCAGCTCGTGGATGGGTCGTGCTTGGTAGTCGTCGTGGGAGGCCAGGTGGAGGTCGTCGATGAACACGACCAGCCGACGACCCCCCTTGGCCCCCCACCCCCCTGTCTCCCGCGGCGCCAGGCAGCTCAGCACCACGGACTGGGCGCGGAGGGGCAGGAGGGAACAAGGGCTATGGATTTGTATTTAGACACGCACACGCACACACACACACAGGCACGCACGTTTGCACACACACACACAAACACACACACACACACACACACACACAAACACAGAAACACACCCAGAAACACACACACATAGAAACACACACATACACAGAAACACACACACAGAAACACACAGAAACACAGACACATACACAAACACACACAGAAACACAGACACGCACACACACACACGCACACACACACACACAGAAACTCACACACACAGAAACACACACACACACACACACGCACACACACTCACACACACACACACACATACAGAAACACATACACACACACACACACACACACACACATCTACTCTTCAACATTAAGAGGAAGAAAACTAATTCTTACTACAAGCTACAAAATAGATATAATAATAATTATAAGAACAATAATAATGATGATGATAAAAACAATAATAATAATAATAATAATAATAATAATAATAATAATAATAATAACAACAACAACAAGAAAAGTGACAACAAAAACATCACCAACAACATCACCAAAAAACACACACACAAACAAAAAACGAAAGAAAAGCGACCTTGACGGAGAAAAAAAATATTAACATCATAACAACGTCAACAGTGATAATAACAAACACAACACCAACAACAGAAAAATAATATAAGCAAGTAAGAGCAAGAAATCAACAATAATAAACAGCAAAAACACCAGAAAAACGACAGAGAAAAAGAAATAATAATAATAATAATAATAATAATGATAATAATAAAAATATTAACATCATCATACCAACGATGATAATAACAAATAAACAAACACCAACAACAGGAAACTAGGATAAGCAAGTAAGAGCAAGATATCGACAATAATAAAAAACAAAAAGAGATTAAAAAAAAACAATAATAAACAACAAAAAAGATAAACAAAAAAAACACACACACAAGCAAGCAAGAGCGAGCGAAAGCAAAAGAAAGAGAACGCAAGAAATTCCACCTTGACGGAGAGCGCGGTGGCGACGACCGTGACCGACAGGACAATAATTATAATAATATTAAGAATATTAATAATAATAATAATGATAATAATAATAATAATAATAATAATGATAATAATAATAAATATATATAATATGATATAAAAGATATAAAAAAACGCAAGCAAGCAAGAGCGAACGAAAGCAAAAGAAAGAGAACGCAAGAAATTCCACCTTGACGGAGAGCGCGGTGGCGGCGGGCGTCACAGGCAGAATGGCGTACTCGGAGGCGTCGGTCGGGAGGTTCTTGAGATGGTGACGCACGACCACCTTCCGCCCACTCTGGCCCTCGCCCACCAGGAGGATGCCGTTGGTTGCACGCCCACACACGTCGACGAGGTAGGAGAGTCTGGTGGAGGGCGGGAGAATCGAGGTCAGTGTTTTTGTGTTATTTACATATGTGTGAGTGTAGAATTGTTGTTGTGGTGTTTAGTCGTGTGCGTGCATTTCAGACAGATGTAAAGACAAGTAGAAACACGCACGCACGCACACATACACACATACACACACACACACACACACACACACACACACACACACACACACACACACAATCAAACAAATATGCCCGTCCCCCCCCTCCCCCCCCGTCCCCATAATCTCCCCAGACACTCGCCTCGCCGACTCGACCGTGGGCACCAGGAGCGAGGAGATCTTGGTCGTCTCCTGGATCTCCGTGTGCTTGATGACGTCGGTCCAGGGGCGCCAGAAGGACCTCTGCTTGGCGTCGAAGAGGACGTCGAACACGCTGCCGTCCCCCGGGTAAGGGCAGCCGATCTGCTCGATCATAGATGGCGTTGGGTGTTTTCTAATGTAACCTGAAATGAATATAAGTGGTAAACATTTATGGTATCTTGATTAACAACTGATTGTATTTCCGGTCAAACATTTGTAAAACATGAAAATTCCTTCCATCCGGGCAGCCTCCTCTTTCGCATGAAAACCCATCTGTATCTGACGCAGGGCCTCCTACCCATCACAAGTCTCCTGAAGAAGACGTTGAAGGCTTCCTTGGCGGGGAGGGTGAGCGCCCCCGCGATGCACCACGTGACGGAGAAGAGGAAGGACGCCGTCGTCCAGGTGGGGCCCACCTTTGGACGGTCCTTCTGCGAGATGCTGCCGTCCTGGAGCACCTCGTTCACCACCGTCGCCGTCAGAGGGAAGATGGACCTGAGGACGAGAGACGGAGGGAGGAGGGGGACGGGAGGCGGAGGGAGGAGGGGGACGGGAGGGGGGGAGAGGGGACGGGAGGCGGAGGGAGGAGGGGGACGGGAGGGGGGGAGGGGGACGGGAGGCGGAGGGAGGAGGGGGACGGGAGGGGGGAGGGGGACGGGAGGCGGAGGGAGGAGGGGGACGGGAGGGGGGGAGGGGGACGGGAGGCGGAGGGAGGAGGGGGACGGGAGGGGGTGGGAGGAGGGGGACGGGAGGCGGAGTGAGGAGGGGGACGGGAGGAGGTTGGGGAGGGGGGACGGGAGGCGGAGGGAGGAGGGGGACGGGAGGGGGGAGGGGGACGGGAGGGGGAGGGAGGAGGGGGACGGGAGGCGGAGGGAGGAGGGGGACGGGAGGGGAAGGAGGAGGGGGACGGGAGGCGGAGGGAGGGGGGAATGGGACGGGAGGGAGGAGGGGGGACGGGAGGGGGAGGGAGGAGGGGGACGGGAGGGGGACGGAAGGCGGAGGGAGGAGGGGGACGGGAGGGGGTTGGGGGGAGGGGGACGGGAGGCGGAGGGAGGAGGGGGACGGGAGGGGGTTGGGGGGAAGGGGACGGGAGGGGTAAGGGAAGGAGGAAGGAGGAGAAAGGAGGAAGGAAAAGGGGAGATAAATATAGAGGCTTAAATGGATTGAGGTGTTACTAGAACGACATGAAGAATATTTAACTGTCTGAACATTTATCTCCAACAGATTCACTCCGAGAGCGCGCGCACGACTCACAAAGTCCCCGACTGAAAACGAAAATGCGACGAAAGCGAACCAATTCCCATCCGCAGCTGCACCGCGAATCCTCACCTGACAAGCGATACCTCAACGACGGGCAGCAGGTAGCGGCAGTGCGTCTTCACGAACTCGAGTGCGGGCGGGATGAGCCAGTTGGCCAACTCCCGCAGAAGGGTGCCGTACTCCCCCCACCAGGGTCCGTGGGCTTGGTGGTGCAGCCAGGAATGCAGGATCGCCGCCCATCCGATCGTCTGGCCGCCCACGTACACCATTCCGCATCGCGAGACCGTGGCGGGGGATGCCTGCGGGGGGAGGGGGAGGGGAAGGGGTGGGTTGGGATGCATTTGCTTTCGTTTTCGTTTTTCTCTTTTCGTTTTTTTGTTTTGTCTTGGTTCTGTTTCTCTGTCTCTGTCTGTCTGTCTGTCTGTCTCTCTATCTCTCTCTATCTTTCTCTCTCTCTCTCTCTCTCTCTCTCTCTCTCTCTCTCTCTCTCTCTCTCTCTCTCTCTCTCTCTCTCTCTCTCTCTCTCTCTCTCTCTCTCTCTCGCCCTCTTTCCCTCCTCTAATTCTCTAACTAGTATCCATAAAAAACACACCCTCAAGATTCAACCCCCACCTGGGACAGATCCAGGACCTCAAAGATGGTGGCCATGTCTTCGGGCACAGGCACTGTCTCGCCCGAGGGCAAGCACAGCTTCTGCGAGTCGTCGAGGGCGGTGTTGAGGTTCTCCACCCACGAGGCGTCCGTCGGGCCGTCGAACAGCAGCCACGTGCGGCGGGCGTGGGCTTGTCTGCGGAGGTAATGGTAGATATGAAGGTTTCATGGCACACACACACACACACACACACACATATATATATATATATATATTTATATATATATATATATATATATATATATATATATATATATATATATATATATATATATATATGTATATATATATATATATATATATATATATATATATATATATATATATATATATATATATATATATATATATATATATATATACACACACACACACACACACACACACACACACACACACATACACACACACACACACACACACACACACACACACACACACACATGTATACATACATACATATATATATATATATATATATATATATATATATATATATATATATATATATATATATATATATATATATATGTGTATATATATATATCTTAATTTATCAATATATACATTTTAACAGCAATGTATTAATATTATATCATCTCGTGAGCTTGTATGGGGAGGTCGTGACAACCATGAGGGTTTAATGATATCTTATTCCATCAATAAATCATATTATTTCATCTCATTATTATATTAATGATAAAGGCTTTCAGGATTTGTTTCCCTGTATCGCGTTGCTGCATTTTCTTATTACAAAATTTAAGTGCCGATACTTCGAGTAAAGTTACCTTAATCTCTATCACAAAATATTGCTGCTGATGCTGCTACAACTAATAGTACTACAACTACCTTGCTATTAATCATCATAAATTAATAGCAGTCCTCAACTCACCTGATGACCTGCGCTACGAGTCCGTCCGACCATTCTCTGTTAACAGGGTCGAGGGAACCGATCAGCTGCGCCTGCGTCAGAGTCTTAGGGTTCAGTACCTCCACGTGGATAGGCTGGTCCCCTTCCATCATGCCCAGTGCTGCCGAGAGCGTCTTTTGAGGAGGAAAAATACGGAACGTTCAAGATCTTAAGGTTACTAGAATATAAGACAAGAACTGATTTAGGAATAAAATGGGATGAAAATTATATATATCATCAGATTGAAAGATTACAGAAGCAATATCTTCTTTTGACTACTCTTTTCCAAGGCATCTGATGAATATTGGAAAGTTTCAAATGTTTTCAAAGCGAAAATTGTAACACATATTAACTCTCTCTCTCACACACACACACACACGCACAAACGCACACACACACATAAGCACACACACATACATACATACATAGATATATATGAACACGTACATATATACATAAACACATATTTATGATGATTAATATTTAGCATACGTCTATAAACAATAATTTCGATGGCATAACATTTTGATAAACTCTGCGGATTATACTACCCACATTTTACTATCTCACATCTGGGCGTTCTAAGTCTAGTAACACCTTTCTAGTTTTCTGACTCGAAGTGCATTAAGTGTAACGTAACTTATAAAATAGAGCGCAATTTCAACATTCAATTTGTATGGATACCATCTCATGTTAGCATACGCAAGCACGACTCTTGCTAGTATAAAGAACTATGCGAATATCTCATTTAATCTGATACACTGGAAGATATACTCGTACGATATCCTAAATTTACTATGTAAAACTGGCGTAAACAAAGAAGTGTTATGTAAACACAGAGGCAAAGCATATCAACGTAATATTTTTTTGTATGACGCATGATTTATAATTTTTATTTTACAATGTACAATTACAGTAGTGACAGAATACTGTACTATGTCAAATATATGTAAAACTCTGTAATCACGATTGTCAACGGCTGGGCAGATAGCCAGGGTGGTAAATAAATTATCACAGCTGGGATTTTCTTGGATCTATGCACAAAAATATATAGTTTACTATGAATCTAAAGATGCTTTTACTTTTACAACTAAGAAAGGGCAGGTATGCCTACAAGGTCAAATATTGGACATAAGTAAATATAACTTAATTTTTCATCAGATATATAACATTCTAACATTTCGAACATATACTTTTTATTCAAAATAAGTAATTAAAGGACATGGCAGTGAAGGAAAATACTTGAAAATACCCGATGTATTTCCGCCAGAAAAGTAATGAATTAGTGTACCTGTGGTTCATTATCTTAATATTCTATGTAGTTGTATATATAGGACTTTTTCGCAAAAAGTCGCTAGAATTTCAATGATTCGAATATAATAATGCTATAGCCTAAATTTTCAGTGTAATCCTATTATATAATGTTATATTTACTACCCTGCAAATAGCCAAGGTGGTAAATAAAGGACTAAATTAAAGCTAAAAGTCCAAAAATGCGATATGGATAAAAATGACACGTGCCTTTAAGTCCTGCTCCTGAGGTTGTACCTGAACCCAATATTTCGTACGATGATGGAAAAAAATCCAAATCCTAACAAACAAGCAGATACCAAATATCTACCTAACGCCCTGTAAAACCCCTTCTACATCCCCTCTCCCTTCCTGGGCGTCTTCCTCCTGACCTGAATGATCGTGGTCTTCGATCCACATGGCGGCCCCACCACCATGACCCCGTGGCGTTCCCTCAGCGTCTCGTACAGTTGCAGCGTCTTCAGGAGGAACTCGTTCGTTGCAAGGAGGCCTCGTTCCTCGCACACCTTCGGGGAAAGAGATTCAAGGTTGTTCTGGTGCAGTTTACAAGTAAAGTTTGTTTCTTGTTTTTAGTTAAAAAAAGAAAAGGCTTAAGGCTGTTCTTTGGAAATTTAAAAGTAATGTTCGTCTCTTGTTTGAATAGATGTATGAGATACATTTGAAGAAAATGGATTCAAGTTTTTTTTTGACGCAGTCCATAAAAGTGAAGTTTCTTTCTTGTTTTAGCAAATTGAAAAAAAAAATCCGTGTTACAGAAAGGAGGTTTAAGGTTGTTCTGAATTCTGTTTCTTGTTTTCGTAATTTGAAAAGAAAAAAAATCCGTGTTGCAGAAAGGAGGTTTAAGGTTGTTCTGAATTCTGTTTCTTGTTTTCGTAATTTGAAAGAAAAAAAATATCCGTATTGAAGTAAGGTGGTTTAAGCGTCTTCAGATTCAAGTAAAATTTCCTTTCTTGTTTGGGTAATTATAAAAGATTGAATTTCCGTATTGAGGAAAAGAGACCTGTTTGAGGCAATTCGAAAGTGAAGCTCGTTTCCTATTTTCATAAATCCAGAAAAATAATAACCCGGGTCCAAGGAGTATACAGATGCAGTAGACAGATACTCAACGACCAGCGTGTCCCCGAAGCGCTTACCTTCTCCAAACAGCTGACCAGGTTATCAGCTGGCGGGCGGGGCGTCGGCGGGAGTTCGAGAAAGAAGTCGGAGAGGATGGACTCGAACCTCTCGTAATCGTCGGCGACCAACTTGGGCTGGTTGACTTCCCTTAGGGCCCGGAGGACGACCTCCGTCTCCGACCACTCCGGCAGGGAGGTCCTCAAGCGGGAGGTCGCCGCCAGCACCGTTTTCACGGCTCGCATGCCTGGCGGTGAAAGGGCCTCGTTAGGCGGCTCCGGGGCTCCTCTCTTTCTCTCTCTCTCTCTCTCTCTCTCTCTCTCTCTCTCTCTCTCTTCGCT